TGCCAGTGGGGGGCATGCGGGAGGCAGCTGATCAGTGTCTCATCAATGTTTCTATCTCTCTCCCTCTCCCTTCTCCTCTCTCTAAAACTAATAAAAACATTTTTGAAAAACACAATTTCAGGTTACTATTACCCCTGTTTTATAGAGAAGGAGACCAAAGCCCAAAATGGGTAAGTGACCTGCTCAGGGTCACACAGCAAGCACTCACTGAATCTTGTACCCCAGCTGCTGTGACTTGAGGGGTAGGTAGCTGTCACAGGGAGGCCGCATGCAGATCCCTGTAAGGAGGAGCTCGGCAGCCAGCTCCCAGTCCTTAGAGATGTTCGATGCTGCTCAGCCATCGCTGGGGGGCCTATGGCAGCAGCTGAGATTGAAGGTGGCCTGGATGAGGGATGGGGTGACCAGACCTTGGGGCCGGCGGACTTCAACAGAGCACTGGCTCCCCGGGGTGGCTCTTGGTATGTGGATGTGAGTGGGAGCTGCTGTTTCTGGAAAGCCGGCCCACCATTCATGTACCTCATCCTACCAGCCTTGAGCTTGGACTCCAGCCCAGCCCGAGGGGCTGTGTCAGATCAGGGCTACAGCGGGAACCCCGGTGACTTCCACACACAGCGACCTGCTGGGGAGTCAGGAGCCCAGAGAAGGCCCAGCTGATGACCAGACCAGGAAGTAGGCAGCTCCCAGGAGACCCAGCCATACCTCGCTCCCGCCTGTGCCAGCACCTCTGACAGCTCGGGGAGTGTCCTGGGTCTGCAGAACCCAGGCCCCGGAGCTCTGAGACCCATGTGCATTTTACCCCAAATCTACTCCATCTGGTTCTCATTTATTTACACTTAAGTCATCAAATGCAATTTTGCAAGCGCCGCTCAATAGCCAAGAGGCTTTTCTGCCTAAGCCTCCCTCCGAAAGGAGCCGGGCCTCAGCCCCAGGGACCAGGAGGCAGCTCTCGGGGTTGGAGGTTGAATTCAGGCCCCGTGCCTCCACCTCTGCCCCTGGGCCCATCATGGGAGCTGGGATGCCAGAGCCAAGCACAGAGCCTGACACACAGTAGACTCTTCGTAGCCAGGAGAATGTGGGTGGGGTCCAGGCAGAACACAGCGTCTCTGTTTCAAATCGTGAAAGGTCCGTGGGAAACACAAAACAGCCGAAGCTGGGTCCAGAAGTAATTTTCAGTTATTATAAATAACTCAAACCTGGATTCTTGGCCCAAAGTAGGACCAACAGCCCCAACAGCCAGCTATTAATAAAAACAAACACCAGCACCTCGGGCCAGAAAGCAAGCCTCCTGGGCAAACCACAGGCCGCCGCCGAGGCCTTTCGGAAGCACAGCAGCCTGCAGCCCATGGGTTGGCTCTGGAGACCCTGCTTGCTGGGAACCAGCCATCCCTGACACAGCCCTGCAGTGGCTGGTGGGGTCCGGCGGCCAGTTTCCGTGAAGGGTGGGCACACTGAGCAGAGGGGGAGGAGTCCCAGCTGAGGGCTGCGTGCCCCACCCCAGCATCAGACCTGTGCTCACACAGGGCACTGCAGGGGGTGGTGGGGAACCCTGGCCCTAGAGCAGTGATGGCGAACCTTTTGAACTCGGTGTGTCAGCATTTTGAAAAACCCTAACTTAACTCTGGTGCCGTGTCACATATAGAAATTTTTTAATATTTACAACCATAGTAAAACAAAGATTTATCTTTTTGATATTTATTTTATATATTTAAATGCCATTTAACAAAGAAAAATCAACCAAAAAAATGAGTTCGCGTGTCATCACTGCCCTAGAGTCATCACCGTGGCCACTGGGATTGGGAGGGAGAGGCTGGAGCAGGGTCCAGGAGAAGCATGTAGACCAGTGGTTCTCAACCTTCCTAATGCTGTGACCCTTTAATACAATTCCTCATGTTGTGGTGACCCCCAATTTCATTGTTACAAATTGAACATAATTAAAGCATAGTGATTAATCACAAAAACAATGTGTGATGATATATGTGTTTTCCAATGGTCTTAGGCAACCCCTGTGAAAGGGTCGTTCGGCCCCCAAAGGGGTCGTGACCCACAGTTTGAGAACCGCTGATGTAGACTGTGGCTGGAGGGAGAGGCCTCAGCCCCAGCCAAGGCTATGCCAGGGCGTGGAGGTGAGACTGACGGGGACTGCGGGAGGGAAAATCAGGAGCCGTGTGGCTGCTTGGATATGGGAAGGCCAGGGGGAGGGCCCTCACAGACCGCTGATCCTCAGACCTGGGTGGGAGCAGAGCAGAGCTGGAGCCAGGTCCCTCTTTTGTCCTCCTGGGCGCCCTAGTCTCCCTTTCTCCCTCCTATCTCCCGCCCTGCCTGGTTGGGCTGAATGAACGCGTGCTCACTGTGCCTGGGCCCTGGGCCTCGGGCTGGGCAGCAGCCCGCAGGAGCGTAGGCCGTCTGCCTTTTATCGAAGACGAAACCAGATGATCTGTTTCTGAGGGTCTCCCAGCTCCACCAGCCGAGGGGCCCCAAGTCAGGAACCAGCCACAGTTCAGCTTTCTCTGCCTTCCCAGCACCCTTGTCTGCATTCACCACCACCACCACCACCACCACCACCACCACCACCACTGGCCATCAGTCCTGGTGGCACAGAGATGCATTTGTGGGTTCAGGGAGGGAGCACATTTACCCAGGGAGGCTGTGGGCAGGGGGTGACCTAGCTGGTCCAGGCAGAGCCCACGCAGGACCCTTACAGAGCAGGGGTCTTCGGGGGCCTTGCTCCTCATTGCATCCTTCTGTTCTTTTGTTGCCAGTTAAAAGGGCTTCCTGAGAGGAGCCTCCTAGGACCCATGGGGCCTCCTTTCTGCTTTGTAGATAAGTCCCTGTGCCAAGGAGCTCTGTGCCTCTGGGAACACTCAGCTGTGGCCGTAAATAAAGATGAGGGACCTCGAGCTGCCAGCGGGGCTCAGAGGAGAGTGCTTTCCTCACCCCAGCTGAGCCCGCCCAGGGATCGTGGCTCATGGAGGAAACAGGCGTGCTCAGTGCACACAGCGGGGGAGCTGTGGAGAGCCCTGACTGAGCCCTGAGTCCCCAGAAGGAACCGGGACTGTGCTGTGCTCCAGTGCACTGGCCGTGTGTGGTAGTGAGCTCCCTGCCCCTGCTGTGTGCACACACGTGTGCGGTTCAGTTCCTCCTGCTGACCTCTGAGCACCCACTCAGCCTGACCCCCCTGTTGGGGGCAGAATAGAAAGGAGACTCAGGTCTGTCCTCAGCTGAGGGGCCTGTCTGCTCAGGAGCTGGACAGCGGGTCTGAGGCCTGCCTCCCCTCTGACAGCTGGTGGCTCCGGCTCTCGGGGCCCCAGTGCCCTCATCTGTGCAGGGGGGTCGGTAGCGCAGCCTGTCCCCCTGGGTTGCTGCAGGGCCCACTGAGTTGATGCTCGCGAGGCCCCATTCCTGACCCATCCGAACGCTCGGGGAATGCTAGCTTCGGGTTGTTACTCACAGGCTGACCAGGACACGTGCCTGGTTAGAACTGTTCATGGCGGGGGCAGACCCCCAGAAGCAGACACCACCAGGGTGTCGGGGGGAGATGCCCCCAGCAAAGGCCACACTGGCCCTGGGCCTTTAGGAGCCACCAGGAAGACTTGGTTGAGTAGAAAAGGGTTTTGGAATAATGCCTCCCTGTCCTTCCCCACTTCCCACCATGTGGCTCCTCTCAGCACGAGCCCCCTTGGCCACTGGAGCTGGAGCAGCGCGGCTTACGGAGTTCAGAGCTCGCCCTCCGCACACTCACCTTTGAGCTCGCCGAGGAGGAATGACCTCCTGCCTCGCAGTCCGCCTCACAGGGAGCCGGGGGAAGTGATCAGTTTCCCGGAGCCCGAGGGGGCCCAGCTGACAGTTCAGTACAGTCCACCCTGCAGATCCCTTACCTGCTTCCAGGAGTAAAAGATGCCCATGTTTAAAAGAACCATGTATAAAGCTCCATGCAGAGGGAGCGTGCATGAGTGTGAGTGTGTGTGTGTGTGTGTGTGTGTGTGTGCGCGCTGGGGGTTGGGGTATTGCCTAGACACGGCCAGTAGCATGTTGCCATTGTGGTTTCATATATTTGCCTGTTACAGTGACAATACAGACATGGCACATTAAGGTTTAAGAAGCCCTTCTTTCATTAAACAAACTGACGGTGTAGGGAGCGATGGCTTTGGTAATTGAAACATGCTGTGCTGGCCAAGACCAGGGCTCCATAAAGACTCTTCCCGCCCGTGGCACCCTTCGTGCCAGCAGCCTCTGGTCACACTGAGTGCCGCCCAGGTCTGTCTCGGGGAGTGGGAAAGCCACCTGGCAGCCTCTGCCCGGTCTCAGCAGCCAGAGGTCAGGGCCTTTTCAAAACCTCCCCGTTCTGTGGGCTTTTGAAATCAATTTGTGAGGCCAAAAGCCTGGGCTTCGGGGAAAGCATGGAGGGCGGGCGGGGGGGGGGTGGGGGCGGGGGATAGCCGGCTGCCCCGTCCTCCAGCCCCTTCCTAGCCGCAAGGTCTGGCGCTGCTGCTGTGAATCTGGGTGTGACTGACGAGGGGACAGGGATTTGGCTGGCAAGGCTGGGCGGGGGGGGGGGGGGGGGGGTGAGTGTAGGCTGCACTGTCTTGGGGTGGGAGGGGCAGCAGTAGTATCGGTGAGAGCCCAGATTTGGGAGTCAGACCACCAGGTTTGACTTCTGCCTCTGTGGAACCTTAGACAGGTGGCTTTGCCTCTCTGCACCTCGGTTTCCTTACCTATTAAATGGGGTCACACCTGGATCTGAGTGACAGGGTTGCTGTGAGGATTAGAGGAGTTAACACAGGTAAGATGCCAGCACACAGGAGAGTCAGGGCCAGCTGGACCACAGCCATGGTAACTGAATCCCTCTGCAGTGACTCCGTGGGATACTGTGTCGTGTGTTTGTGGAGCACTGCCGTGGGGCAGAGTCCTGCCGTGTGCAGCTCGGGGAGCCCTCCCCGTGCAATCTGGGGGAGCTGCTGCACCCTCGCTTCCAGCTCCTCTCCTCTCTTCCTCTCCTGCAGATGTGGACGAGTGTCAGGACAACAATGGCGGCTGCCAGCAGATCTGTGTCAATGCCCTGGGCAGCTACGAGTGTCAGTGCCACAGCGGCTTCTTCCTCAGTGACAACCAGCACACCTGCATCCACCGCTCCAACGGTGAGTCCGCCCCTGCCCACACGCCCCACCCGCCGCAGCGGGCAGCCAGGGCATGGGCCTCGGCTCGGGCTCAGGCCGGGACTTTGGCGGTGACCTGAGTGGCTGTTTTGTGCTCTGGTGCTGGTTCTGCATGGGCTCCTCCCAGCGCCTTCCCTCTGCCCGCTCAGCAGGCCTGTTGGGATTTCTGGTGTTTTTATTTGGAGACAAAGCGGGGCCACACATGGTACATGTGACCAGAGAAACTGTCTTCCTTTCTGGGTTGGGGGCTGGCTGTGGAGGGCCCCATCCTCCTGGTCCCCTTCCCCAAGGGGGGCTTGAGGCCCGAACTGGCTGAGGGACCTTCTCTCAGTCTGTGAGTCGGGCAGCATCCAGGACTGTGGGCTGTGTTTCACCGGGTCACCAGCCCGGGGGCAGTCTTCCTGGTCAGGAGCCTGCTGCCCCCTGGAGGCCAGGTGGATGGCAGCCGGCTGGGGCCAGACAAAGGGACCCGGAAGACTCCGGGCCAGCCTGACTGCAGAGGTAGCCTGGGGACAGCCCGGGCTGGGACAGAGCCTGGCCCCTGCTGATCCCAGCAGGCGAAGATCCTTGGTGGGGACCAGAGTTTGGGCCCAAAGCTGCAGGGCTGTGAGGCGAGACAGGCTGGCGAGAAGCCAGAACCTGTGTGCTCGGCGCAGAGGGGCTTCCAGACGGAGGGAGCAGCACTTGCAAAGGCAGAGACCTGTGTGCTGAGGATGAAGGCAAGGTCCCGGCCTCTGCAGGAGGGGCCGGGGCAGGGGCAGGAGCCGGCCCGCCTGGGCCTGGCCGTCTGAGTGGCCAAGGGAGTAGATGTGCAAGGAGGACAGGCCAGCCCCGCAATGGGCCTGGAGGAGCCTGGCGGGCCCCCCATGAAGCTCAGAACCTCAGCTTCCTCACCCGCAAAATGGCGATGTGTGCTGACCCTAAGGGTCTTTGGGGGATCGACTGGGATCCTAGGTGTAGAGTCCCAGCGACGCTGACGCTGAAGCTGACAGAGGCTCCGACGTGACACTCAGGGGCCCTGGGCAGGATTTTTATCTGAAAGCGGCTCTTCGGAAAGAAAAAGAAACAAAAACAGTTAAAAAGTACACAGCCCAGGGTCATTAATCAGAGCTACTTCGCCGGCTCCTTAGAATCCTTAGTGTTTGTTTAGACGGTTTCCTCAAGGACAGCACGGACCGATAATCCCTAGCAAGGCCACATCCCTAGCAAGGCCACGTCCCCAGCAGGACAGAGGCCGGCCTCGCCATTTCTTGGCCGCTGCTCCCGCCGCCTTGTCCAGATTTCCCCAGCAGCCCACACGGGCGGCTCAGCTTGCCCCTCATAAGACCTCCCAGCTGTGGGGCTCTGAGGTCAGGCTGCCCCAGATGAGGACCCTGGGCCCAAATCAAGTTTTATAAGAAACAGATTTATGGAGGAGAGAGTGAGGGTGGTGGGAGGGGAGTCCTGCTTCCATCAAGGAGGGGTTTATGGGACGATCGCTCTGAGCAGGCTGTGAAGTTCCCGAGGCCAGGCGGCCTGAGCCCCTTCCTCGGCGAGGTTGTGTGGGCTGGTCCTTTGAAGAATGGCTTTCCCACGGGCAAGACCCCGGGTGAAGTGTAAGCACCAAGCACCGCTGTGCGAGGGCTGTCACAAAGCAGACCTCAGCGTCAGCCAGAGAGGTGGGGAGGACGCACGATGAGGTGGCTGTTGCGGGGTCCTGCACAGACTCTGAGCCGAGCCCGCACAGCAGCGTGGCAAGGTGGAGATAGGATGACTTGGTGACAGGTGAGGAGGCCAGAGACTGTCCCATTAGGGAACTGCCCCAGGTTACACGGTAGGAAGCTGGTAGTCAGGATTCCAGCCAGGTCACTAGCTGTGATGCAACGAGGATGTAAGGAAAGAAACAGGGTGGAGAATAGACAGAAACAGGCAGGCGGTAAAGGCCTCTGAGGAAGCCACACGTGAGCTGGAACCAAGTGGCTGGCATCAGTAGCCACAGGAAGAGCTGGGGATCGTGCCAGGCAGGGCGTGTGCAAAGGCCCTGGGGCAGGCATGGCCCAGCTGGTGTGACTAGCAGAACGGAGGGTGGGATGGTGGAGCACAGAGAGCCACGGGGCGAGGAGCCCAGGATGAGGGGAGCTGGGTGGGGCAGGCCCTGCGAGGCTGCTGTACTGAGGCTGGAGTTTGCATTTCATGCAGAGGGAGCCCTGGGAAGCTGGGTGAGCAGAGGTGGGGAACGATGCTGGAGGGGAGAGTAGGGGGGCTCCTACGGGCACTCGGACGCTTCGGGGACTGGGCCGCTGACTGTGCAGTGGAGCCTCAAGCCCGTGCCTCACCCACCCTAAGGCCTGGGTGGCCAGGTCCAGATTTTCATAGAAGCCAGGGATGGAGATTTAACCGGAATTCAGATGTGGGAGCTCAGCATGGGGATTAAAGAAACCTCTTCCCTCGTTAGGATCTTTGTGTGAACCTCCTAATTTTTAAATCTGAGCAATGAATCCATCTACAAAACAGCAGACTTCCTGGATACTTCAGGAAGGACTAGTGGTAGCATTTCTGGGATTCCCACAGGCCGCATGGAAGGTCCGAAGAGACAGGTCAAGTGCACGGGATGTGGGCTGACGGCTCGTTAATCCCGGGGTGGAGATGGGCCTGGATGCCTGGCCTCGTTGCCTCTCCCCTGAGCCTCTGTCTGTCGTGACCATTCCTGCAGCTCCTGTGACTGTGTCTCAGCCACAGTAACGATGGTTAGCGCGCAGAATCAGGGTGGCCCGGGCGCCAAGCCCCAGCTTGCTCTGCACCTAAGTGGCTTCTGATCCCCATGGCTCCTGGGAGGGCTGATGGGTCCAGAGCTGTTTGGCAATTCAGATTCCTCGTCATCTGACTCTTCCTAAGCCCGTCAGCTCTTCAGAGCCTCCCCTGAGCAGGAGGAGCACACAGGCTGGTTTTGATTAGAAGTGGCTGGATGCATGAGAGAGGTCAGGCAGGGTCAGCCAAGGCCCCTGGCTGAGCAGTCAGGCCACAGGGCTCGGCCCTTCAGAGTGGTCCCACTTCCCAGGCGCCAGCACAAACCCTGGCCCAGAGCATGTGGCTCTGGCCAGGCTGGGGTTGGGAGCTTTCGGGTCTCCGCCGTTCTCCATCTCCACTGGCCACGCAGCCTCTGCGTCACTCCTGCCTCTTCGGGCTCCTGGTGTGTAAGTTGGGACCAGTAAGCCCTCCCAGGGGCTGAGAGATCCTTTCGGGGAAATGCTTGAGCGGTCAGGCGAGTGGCTGCCTGAGGGTAGTGACTCACGTAAGCAGCTTCTCCAGAACTCAGGCCGTTCTCCTGTCCAGCGCTGGGTGGGAGGGGACCCAGTGCTCTTGGCATCAGTGGCTCGTCTCCCTCTGCTCAGGGCTTCCAGGCACCGGTTCTGGCCCATCACAGCCCACACTTGCCTCCTGCTCAGCCCCTGACACAGCAAGCAATGCAGTCCCTCTCCGGTCCACAGCCGGGCGGCCAGACCAGGCCAGTCCCAGGCTCCACTGCCCCTCATTGTGGTCATATGCTGGGGGCCTCTGCGGTCCCACAGTGGACAGGCCACCAAGGAGGCAGCACCTTCAAGCTGCCTCCCTCTCACATGCTGCTCTTTCCTCTGAAACCTCTGTCATGTCCATGCTCTCTGTGGCATGGCGTGGTGCTGGGTGGTCAGCATGGGACTGAGCAGCAGCCTGTTCAGCTCAGAGGGAACCGGTTCTGCCTGGGGGCTGTGAAGAGGGGGCCAAGCGGCCCTGAGACTAGGGGGCCTCTTAGGTGGCCAGCTGAGCATGGCCTGGGACTCTGTGGGGATTGGGTGGCTGGGTATTGTGGGGAGGAGAGGGTGAGACACCGGCTAATCCAGTAGAACGAGGCCTTGGTTGAAAGTAGTGGACTGAAGGCAGCTGACCTTGGAAGCCAAGTTGGCGTAGGGGTCTGAACAGAGAGGCAGAACCCGCAGGCAGCCGTGCAGTGACACCCACTCAGCCACAGCATGCACCTGGCCCTTGGGGCTGAGCCCACTGCTCAAAGCACACCCCATCTTGGGACTGGCTGGGGGAGCTCCTTGGCAGAGGTCACTGGGGAGTTTTCGGATGCAGGCCCCTGGGATGGGTCAGAGCAGAGAGCCATGGGTCCCAGGATGCTGCCCTCTCTGCCCTGTCTCTGCCCTTGTCCTGGCACCAGTAGCCACAGGTGAGTGGGCAGAGTGCCCTCCCCCACTCTCCTCCAGCCTGGTCCTTGACCTCCCTCTGGACTTTGTCTTCCATCGGCTGCTCCTGCTCCCACTTGCCCTTGGCCTGCAGGCGGACAGGACACCACCCTGGCCACCCCCGCCTTAGCCACCAGATGCCCCCATAGGCCACCCCCACTCTTCTCAGCTCGCAGGTCTTTACACTCCTGACCACCTGTATATCCGCAGCTTCCCTGGGGAATATTTCAGGTGAGCTATCATCCCCGTCGCAGGAAGGAAAACCTAGCGGGGCCACACTGATGGGCAGTATCCAGATGGGAGACCGGTTTCTGATGACACAGCCAGTTCTGCTCCACCCACCGCCAGAGTCGAATGAACCAGCCCGTAGACAGAGACCCACGGGCCCTCCCGAACTGCCCCAGCCACATGGGACTTAGGATCCTGCCAGTACGCCTGGCGGGTGGGCGCCCCCGCACGGCTCCTACAGGGCCAGGGACATCCCCTGCCCCCTGCTTTCCGTCATCAGCTGTGGGTGCTGGGGCCCTTGTGGGTGTATGTGGCTGGAAACTCTGTTTTCAATGGGGTGAACTGGTGTGGCCACGCCCCAACCTCAGGGCTGCCCTCCAGCTGCTCCTCAGGGTGGGCGGGCCAGGCTGGAGGTGAGGGTCTCGGGTGTGCAGGTTCCCCTCGCCCCTGTCTGCTGCAGACCAGGTGGGCGGGAGAATAAACAGCTCACCCACCAAGCGGGAAGATTCATGTGCTGTGGGAGAGGGCCGGTCCTGGACCTGCGCAGCCGGA